AGCACTATTAAAAAAAAATTGTTTGACCAAACACCCTACTGGAATATTTTAATTTTGTAGAACAGAGGCAATGACTCAAATCAACCAGGGCTGTCATGTGTGTGTGTGTGTCTGTTTGTCCGTCTGTCTGTATGAATGTATGTGAATGAGTGAAGACTGTCACAACTATGCTGTTGAAGTCATTGTCTTGTTTTTTCTAATCATCCCTCCCAGTACAATATAGGTTTTAGCATGTTTAATTGATTTAGAGACTTGGAAACCAGCTGAGAAAGAATTATACTTTAATCTGAAGTTCCAGGTAGGCCTAATAACTAAAGCAAAAAGGAAGAATTGTACTGAAGAAGCTTCTTGGATGAGAAGCAAAACATTTTCAAAGAAAAAATCAAGAAAGCTTAGATGCCTGTTGAAAAAAGCACCTTTGGTATAAGGGAAAAGAAAATCCTCTCATTGCCTCCTTATTTATGGAAACTAGTTTCCTTTCATTTATATACCATTTTCCCCCAAAATAAGACCCAACTGGAAAATTAGCCCTAGCATAATTTTTCAATATGGTTGTTATATAAACATTGCACCCAAAATAAGCCCCAGTTAAGATCCTCAGCCAGGTGGATGCATTTAGTAACATATTTCCCCCAAAATAAAACCTAACTGTAAAATAAGCCCTAATACGTCTTTTGGAGCAAAAATTAATATGACCCAGTCTTATTTTCAGGGAAACACAGTATTAGAGGTGCTAAACTAAGTAACCCAATTGAAAGGCCTAATTGAGAGAACTGATATGACCTAGTTGCTCTGAAAATGATTCAGTCATAGTCAGTACTCATAACTTTAGCAAAAAAGTCAAATCAATTTGTCCTCTTATAAGGTACATGGAAAAAAAGTATAAATGATTATAATTTTACATCCTGCTTTTAAGGACAAAAAGAAAGATACAGTGTTAGAGGCACAATATAGTAAGTTTGTGGAAATTAGAGTCTTTTTTAGATTTTTTTTCTTTTTAGACATAATATGATCTCTCTCAACCTTCAGGATATTTTCATCCCTTAAGAGGCATCCTGAGAATTTCAAGACTCACTCTACTTTGAGGACAAATCCATTAATCACTGAATCCAATGCCCCTTTTTTCATTTAACCTTCAGATACAGACTTGGCCAAATCCAGGGTATCTCTGTGTTATGTAAATATTGTTTAGATGTTGTGGGGTGTTTTTGGATTCACCCAGAAAGAGCCCTGAAGCAAAACAAGCTGCTAATTGAAGAGTTTGCTTATTCAAATTTTTCTTCTTAATAGAGTGAACTTGGGCAGTGGAACTAGTAGAAGGGTTACTGATGAAATGTGTATGATCATATCATGCAAACATCACAACTGTATTTTTGTATTAGTGTCACATATCTGAACACAAGTACATAATTGCAGCATTTATCTGATTACTTCACTGCGCACCTATTGTAATTTGGGTATCACTTTTGTTGGTACCAACAACTAATAGAAGCAGCAAACGACACATTTTACATATATCCTCAAGAAAATCAGTCCAAGATTACTCTTGCCAGAAAGAAGATTGTCCTGCCCTATTTTAAAAGAAAAGTCATGATGGAAATTAGCAAGAAGGTATTCCAGAGAAGTTCTTTAGAAGACTCCAGTTTTTTATTTATTTGCCTGGTTGGACAGAGGAATTATCTTAAAACATTAAATACATGGGAATATTTATAAGTAACTGTACTAAACTGCATTGAAAACGAAGATTTCTTCAAGACAATCTCACCTTTTGAAAACTACATCGGCATTCCCATTAGTGATGGGTTCTGGGTGGTACGGCCCAGTATGGCGGTACTGAGAGTAGCGGGGAGCCGCAGCCAACATACTGGTACGGTGGCTTGTTTGGTCCACTAACTCACCCGTGTTCTATGGGCGTTTAATACCGCAACTGGCCCATTGAGCATGCGTGATCTCCGCTGAGCAGCTAGGTCAGTGTTTCTCAACCTTGGCAACTTGAAGTCCAGACATCTTCAAGTTGCCAAGGTTGAGAAACACTGAGCTAGGTGTTGCAGGGCGGTTGTGCATGCACGTGCGCGCAGCACGTGTTTCTGTCTAGGACTCCTGCCCCCGTGCACAGCATACCGGCTACCCCGAGGTCCGGAACCCACCACTGATTCCCATACAACTTCCTTGGTAACAATAAACTTTAGCATTTTAAAAAATATTTTCCATTGCCTAGGCAACAACTCTGGTATTTTTTACTCAACCCTCTCCAAGAATTAAAGTGGTCCAATTCTCCTTGGGTTTTGGAAATAATTAGTGCTACCACTCAAGTGGATTCATTAAATTTAAATTATCTCTATTTTTTTATGGATGTCACCCTGCTGTTTTTGTAGTTTAGGCTTGATACATGATTTAAGGCAATTAAACACTAAAACACTGCACACACCTGTTTTAAAGAAGTGCATAGTTTTTATGATATTTATGGCATGCATTTGAAATATTTCATAATGATTTGTACATCGTCAGCAAGCAATGAAGAGAACAGCACCAATCAATAACTCCTTAAACAAAATGCTACTTTTCTCAAGTTTGGTTTTCAGCTGCAAAAGAAAGATACAGTACAATTTATTTATTTTCATATTCATTATTTCATAGCCATTATTGGCGGTTTTTGTTACATTCACAGGTCTAGACTCTCTCAATGATGCATGGGTTGGGATTCCTAGAGTCTTGATCTCACTGATCTATCAAAAGAAACAGCAGCTCAGAGGCTCATCGAAACTATGGATTGTTCTGGACTCTTTGGAGCTGCAAATGTAAAAGGCACAATCCATAAAAGGACAACTCTGGAAAGGGCATGCCCTGGAACAATGACCCTCTTTTTTTTCTTTATTCATGTCCCGGAACTGTACATGTTCCTGAGGCCCTTCCACCACAGAAAACCTGGAACTAAGTTTTTCCACCAGCCTTGTAGAAACTCAAGCAAAGGAAACTAAATGTGAAATGGAGAGGGAGGGGGAAAATGGGAAGGGGAGATTTTACTGTGTTGGTAAAGAAAAAAAAACCATAGTGCATTACTCTGCACTTAAAGTAATCCCAGGGAATCGTACGTATTTAGCAGCAAATTAGTGTTGACATTTGACTATGTTTCAATCAGCTCTGGGTTTTGGCACCATTATCTGTATTTTTAACTTGCTGTGAAGATTCACTTTACCAGCTGCCCTGCTGTGTTGGGAGATGTAATACATTCCTGAATCATTACTCAGAGGTCAGAAACTCACAATTATTTCTGTATCAGGAAGCAGGAAAGAAAACCAGACTTTTAGAATTTAGAATTTATTTTTTTCATTATCTGAGAAGAAAAGGCTTTAAGTAAGTATGAAGAATAATGATGATGAATCATTTGCTAGGGTCAATGTGCACAAAAGGCATCAGGCTGGCTGGTTAAATGATCATTGTCACATCTTCTTGGCTTCTCAAATATGAAATAAATTTGGCTTTTGGCCTGACACTTTCATATATATAGCAACCAACACATTCCACTGTTTGTTCATTAAACAAACAGCCAAAAAAAATCTGTTGCCCATGATGAAGATTATAAGATTCTCAACTGATATATCTTTTATGATGAATGTGATTGCCTTCAGCTGGTGCAGTGGTTGACTTACTCATTTTTATTTGATTTACATCAATCACACCTTTCATTTCTGGGGTATAGGCAAGACAGCTAACAGTGTTTAAAGGACAAAAACAGAAAATAGAAGCTTTAAAATGCAAATCAAAGTAACACTAAAATAAATAGTAAGATTGTTGAATCTGGTGAAAGGCATGAGTCTTAAAATATTTCAAAACTCTTTAAAGAATTCTTTTATATTGCATAATGAAAATGTATCTTCTATCACATGCATTCATTTTTCTGAGCTCTGGCTATAATAGACTTTCTAATGCGACATCTTTCCAGGTTCTCTATCCAAAAAATTCCCAATACCATCAATCGCTTTCATAGAAATTTTTACCTTCCTTATTGCCCTTGTTGCCTTTTCTGAGTTAATTAAACCATTCTGCTCAGATTGGACACAATAATTGATATGAAATCTGTCTAGTACAGAATATAATTTTTCAATGATTTGACAAACTGCTCTTGATCCAGTCTAAAGTTCTCTTCATCTTTTTGTACAATCACATTTTGGACTTGTGTTCATTTTTAACCAATTATTATTCTAAGATATTTTTTTAATTTCAATCATTTCTGTTGTTTCACCTGATCTCCTCCATTTTGTACTTCTGTTTGTCTTCTATCTCCCACGGCTCTATATTATGTTGTGACTTGCTGTTGCATAGTTCTTATCAGTTGTCTACTACTTACTTTACTAACCACATCCTGCTCTAATTTTAGCTTTCGACTAATACAGTAATTACAAACTCGTACTCCTATGTATTGAATGAGAGGCTGTTAGACAACGAATTTTTCATTCTCAATCCATAAATTTTGCAAAAACATCATAATTATGCATAACTCTTACAAATCATGCTATGTTAATTCTAGGACAGTGTTTCTCAACCTTAGCAACTTGAAGATGTCTGGACTTCAACTCCCAGAATTCCCCAGCCAGCGAATGCTGGGAGTTGAAGTCCAGACATCTTCAAATTGCCAAAGTTGAGAAACACTGTTCTGGGACATTAAGAGACCTACACAATAATGCCATCCTGAAATTAAGGCTGAGATCTCAAAATCATGTTTCTGTTATTTATCAGTCGCAATAATATTTATTGAATAATTTAAAGTTTGTGGCCAAGGGAATACTGACTCCGATATTTTAAGCAATCCCCCAAGTATCATTTCGGAAAATACCACAAGATCTTCAAAATGTGTAAAATTTTATCAATAATTGTTCCCAAATTATCCTGTTTTGCAAACAGTATGCGTGTCGCAAGTTTTATCATCAAGCATGACCAAATGCATTTTCACTGTATTAATATGAGTTGAATAAAGAAAAACAAATATCAAAACAATAGGGTAAGAATAAAGTTTAAAACTTTATTCATCTACTTGATATGAGTACAACAGCAATGTAGATTATAGTGGCATTAAGGTGACATTTGCAAACAGCATGAATAGCAACAATGGCCATTTTGCAGACAAGCAGAGTTAACTCTATGGACAGGCATTGGTGGCTTTCTCTTTCAACAAAGGCTCTTAATAAGAGCTATTCCATAACAACAAGAAAAAGGAGGAGAGGCAGAGAAAAAGGGATATTCTGAAAAAAGGCTTTTTCTCAGTTCTGAACATCAGCTGGTCATGGGAAAAATGGATAAATTTAAACCTTGAAATTTTAAGCAAAATATTATTAATTAGAGTCATGTTCCTAAACATCAGAAATATGGCTTCATCACTATAACGATTGTCAGTAATTTAAACTACTTTATAGAAAATACTGCTGTTAGCAATACACAGTATAACCGAATAAGCAGAATCTTCTCTAGGTCTTCTCTGAGAAATAGCCTAATATTCAACCTTTACCATTTAATTCAATTGGGCTTGATTTGGGCTCAGAAGCTGGTATGCAAAAATTGTGTGCAAATTATCACTCATTCTTGAAGAAACAAATTTGGTAGGGCTACAGATTGGCATGCAAAAATCATGATATAACAATACAAATATTTTTCAATACATTGCCCTTCCAACTTATGGTTTACCAGATTTTTGAAACTCAAATCTGATAGCCTTAAATTTGGATGTAAAATCCATACCCTTAAAATCTATATTCTTGAAGAGGCATTTGCCATAAATTAACTTTATAGGAACTTACAGCAGAATTTATGTTTTGGTGATTTTACATAGAACCCTTTGGGAAACAAAGAACATACTTGTGTTGGGTCATTACAGTATTTTTACACATGGATGAATAACCCAAGAGTGTGAAACTAAACATATTCATTCTTTCTTTTAGAAACCATTCTGCACATTGAAAAAAATATTTTAAAGACCCCTTTTATGTTTCTTGACTTTATACATTTGGAATCAAGCTTGCTCTGACAATCTTAGAGAGCCATCACTGTTTTTCCAAACCAAGGAATAAATTATTTTTAACAGCTCTGTTTTGAGAAGCAATTTAGCTTCATTTCTTCATACTATATTTCTGATGCAGTTTTCCTGGAAGTGGGAAGGTGGAATTGTAACATGAAAAAGGATCAGAACCAAAATATCCATTTTTAGTAGATTGCACTAAGAATGCAGAAGAAATATACAACAGAAGAATGGGCATCATACAATGTAAATAAGCACCAATAAAATATCCTTCTGGAGATAATTTTCTGTCATATAGTTTCTGAATCCCAACCCCCTCAGCACTACAAAGGTAAATAATTGAACAATACACATCACATGTCCTCCATGATGACAATCTGCATTCTGCTGTGCTTCCACAGTACAGTATTCATTCTGCAATAGCCATATGTTGCTTATTAATCTTTTGACATTTACTTGCATTTTTAAGAGATGTGATTTTGCTGTGTGCAATAACTTATCAAATAGTGGTGGTGAATTTGTGCATCACTACAGTGAAGTCCATCTACTTCACCTCAGCTTTGGTACTACTCTTCCCATTCGAATACAATTGAATCAGTGTTTTTTTTAAAAAGAATCTTAAAATTTGGGCTAAAATGTGTTTTGGATATATATAAGGTGGGGGATGATGATAGTGATAAGTAGGTAGTTGGGTAATCGAATTATTTATACAATAGCACTTCAAGTCATTAGCACATTTGTAAAACAATAGAGAGAAAAAGCTCAGTTTTTCTAATCAGTTCAATTTTTAGCACCACATTAAATATTTTTGCTGATTTTAGGTCCTTTATATTTGTAGTAAGACCTCTTTAAGTCTTCTTTTATAAAATTAATATAATTGGGAAGTAGTCTCCCAAATAAATTGTACTTCCCCACAAAATAAATACAGGTAGTCTTTGACTTACAACAGTTCATTTAGTGACCATTCGAAGTTACAACTGAAAAAAGTGACTTTTTTGCTTTTCACATTTATGACCCCATAATCCCCATAATTATGACCCCACCTCATAATCATGTGATCAAAATTTAGATGCTTGGCAACTGACTCATATTTATGATGGTTGCAATTTCCTGGCAACACTCACATAATAAATATCTCGCTTAATAACAACATAATTTTTTGGCTTAATTGTGTCGTAAGTCAAGGACTACTTGTCAAGCTTTTTAAAAAAAATTTTAAAAAAAACCAAACTGACCTATCCTTAATTGTAAGCTTTATTACAAAAGTATGTCATGCTCATATGTTAGCAAATAATAGTGGAACACACAGACTAACATTCATTTTCATCCTGAAATTGTAGAAATCCAATTGCAATGTCATTTTGCAAAAGAAGAGCTCAACTACTGATGAACAATGCTAGGAATTGTTACTCTTTAAGGATCATCATCAGTTTTCATTTCTGATCGCCCATTTTTCTGGAATTACAGACTATTACAGGGATTGGTCAGAGAGGAACTAATTGTCCAATCATGAATTCATCTGCATTCTTTTTAGTAATCCCCTCCCCCCTATTTTGTTTTCAGGGTGTGAGAGAGTTTGCAAAGCATTGGAATGATATGTTAAGTTAGCTATAATATCTTAGTTCTAAAACAAGGCTGTCAAACTTGTGGCCCGCGAGCCAGATGCGTCATGCGCTGGCCACTTATACCCGGTGTAGCAAAGAGGGGAAAAGCCCCGATATGTCCCGTGACGCCACTGTGCAAGTTTGACACCCCTGTTCTAAAAGGTAAAATGTGTTATTGCTCTTGAAGTAATATGTGTGGAAACAGAATATAGAATTCAGGTTTTGTTAAATCAAAATTGATTAATGAAGAATGAGTGGCGTTGCACTGGACTTTGTGATTGGAACCAATAAATGCTTGGCTTCCCAGGCAATATGACGCATACATGGAATGATTTCAAATAGCAGCCATGCTGTAACCATGCTGTAGGTTACACCTCTTACTGCTCAGCTTAAGGAAATGCAATTGAAGAATAAAAGGCAATGAAGATTTCATTCCATGAGGAGGTGAGAAGCAACTATTCTAATTTTCAAGATATAAACATCCTGAATGAAAAAAGAGGAAGCAGAGATATGGCTGGATTTTGGCTAATTTAATGAACTGCAATTAGGATACGCTGCTTTAATCCTTTCTGTGCACCAGATACAAATGTCTGTCCAGAGCTCATTTGTCGGAAAGGACAAAAAAGTAGAAAGGATGCCTAATCACACAGAAACCATCGATGTGCAGTTGAAGCAATAATATGTCCAGGAAAAGAGGCAGCTCGGATGGCCCTCTTTCAACTGATTGGCTTGCAGTCCAGAATTTGCTTTTGGGACAAAGGCCCAATTGCTCTGATAAACAGCACATTCCTTTGTAAATCACTCGTCAAATTGTCCTCTTGGCTAAATTACAGCTAGTTTAATAGACCAGTCGAATACATAATTACAGAAAATTACAGAATTCAAACACAACTACACATTGTCACTTTAAAGTTTCCTTGAGCCTCCTGACTCCTGCTATAATTTGTTTTAATTGATAATATTGCCTGATATAATAGAATTAGAAATATGAAAACTGTCATGTGTCATGATTGCCCCCTCACCCCTGTCGTAGAATATTTATTCTTGTGATTATTGGGCAACCTTCTCTCACTATTGCCTAACAGCTATTTCGGATTTTAATTTCTAGAATATATTAATTCCAGTATAGGATATTGGAGGACATCAGTTTGCAGGAACCTGTGAAGTAGGCAAGAGAAAAAGTATCCTTGGCCAGGTGATACATTCCCACAAAGAGTAACATATCACCAGTATGTCTGTGCCGTTACTACTCCTATTGTTAGGCCCAAGCCCAGTGAAATCCAATCATATCCAATCCTTTGTTTACACTTAATTCACAGAATCTTGGTAGCTGGTAACTGCACAGACTCTTGATCTGGGTCTCTCCTGGTGAACATCCTTTCACACTTAATTACAACGTGATAGAATGATCAGCATTTGATGAAGTTAACATTTTACATGAATTCTGCCAAACAATCTTCTAAACATCTGTACTGATATGCTGAAAAACCTCTTTATCATTTTCTACACAGGCTGCAAAAATCATTAAATGGCTGCAAATAAAATTCTTCTGTCTGTTTCCACATAATGGTCCTCTGGATTTTTGCAGACCAGATCTAGTAGCCTAATTTAGGAGGATAATAAACTAAGACCAAAGAGATTAGCCATTAGTATCTTGATCACCTGTTGTAAATTCAGATATGCCACTGGAAACCACCTATGCTTAGCTCTTAAGTGTAAGAGCAAAAAATACTACAAGTCCTTCCTGCATAAACCTTACAATAACAATTGCTATCTAAACAGGGGAAGAGATACGTAATCTGTAGCCTTATAGATGTTGTTGAATAACATTACCAAGTGTCCTCTGCCCCTCCCCCCAGGACTAATGGTAAGGAAAGCAGGGAGATGGGGGTCTTGCAACATCTGGAGAGCAACAGGTTCCTCATCTACGCTAGACAGACTTACTAAATGACAAGCTTCATTTAATTTAGTGAATTTTTGCTTCTAAATTAGTATAAAGTATTGTATATATACATATAGGATTACACTGTTGGCAGAAACTGCACATTAAAAGAGAAAAAGTAAAAATTTATATAGTAGCAGTTATCACTCAGGTAAAAAAATTAATGTATCACTGCACCCTATTGTCAGCCAAAAATGGCTTCTGATTCTACAGAAGAAAATTTGATGCGTCCCTTACGGAAGATACACAACCTATAAAGCAATTTAGGTAGACAAGAGGCCAGGTCACACAATATCCTCTAAAAAAAAAGGCTGCATGTAGTTGAGCGGATCATTTGATTCAGAAATTGCCCAAGGTTTTTTTTCCCCAGGCACTGATAGTAAATAATCTATTTGAAACTGTGTATAACACAAAATTCAAGTCTTCTTATATGAATAATGAGTGATTACATGAAGAAAATAAAATTAAACATTTGTTCAACATGACATATTGTGCAATATTATCAGTGCATACAAGAAAATAGCTTGAATGATCACTGTGTAGCAGCAAAGTCACTCCGTATAATAGTTAAAATATAATAAAATTTCCAAGTTCACTATTCTGATAGACATTTAAAAAAAATTCAAATGTAACCTTTGCAATTGGGTGGTTCTAGTGATTGAATAATGCTATTCCAATCCTGGAACAGGCTATGTAGAGTACTTTGAAAATGTCCAATCTTTTGACTTGCTTGTCATTCGTTCTACTCACAAAACACTCTTCAATCTTCAGTTTCCCAATAAGGATGACGGCATGGTGACACCTATTCTAGATCCTATGAAAGATGATCATGTATCAGATCCTACAACTTATGAAAGGAGAACTGGAGAGAGTTTCAGAGTTTAAACATGATTGTATGCCTTTCAGTTGATCACAATAAGTTATTGGCCCAGTACAGGCCATTTTTCATGGACCAGCGTGATTAATATTGTTTATTTTAACATGAAAAGGAACAACATCAATACATTGGCCCACGCAGTGCTTATTTTGAAGCACATCAAACAATGCGTGACCACACTATGTCATAGTGATTTTCACACAGCAAAGGTCACATCTAAATTAAACCTAAGATTGCATGACACTATGGCTTACATTTAACATGACAGTTGAAATAACTCCTTCATCATTAAACCAAGAAACCAATTTTGGGTTTATGTACTTGCTCTTCTTGTTAATTTTCAACCAAGAGGTTTAAAGCAAAAATTATATCCCGTTAATGCAAGGAAAGATGGAGGAACAAAGAGTTTCAACAACAAAACAGTAAATGGCAATTTACTACCAGATATGTGCAAGTGCAAGCTGGGAGCTTGTTATCCAAAAAATTGGCCAATATGCAGCACAGCAGAATACTTCTGTTCAGCAGCCTATTTTATTGATGGGTCCTGCAGAAAGAATAAGCCGTTTGACAATAAGGCCAATTAGCTGCAATAGCTGTGCCCAGAGGATAAAGATATTACACAGGACTCCTTCCTTAACTATAGAATATATTCATTCATTGCTTGGAAAGTCCATGACCACAAAATTGTGAGCTGGCATCCTACGGGCACTTCCTGGGTTTTCTCAATTAGTATCCCCAACCTTTGAATGAAAGTCAAGGGAAAATGAGGAAGGCAGAAAGCTGAATATATATGCCATATAAAAACTTGATGAGTGAAAACCATGACTGAGATTTGAACAAAGAACCTTTCATGTCTCTCCCTATGGCAAGCTTGACAGGCCATTGCACAATCTCAAGGCATTAGTATGTGCCTTTCTCAGATTGTCCCTTCTCTCCTCCCCACCTTCATGATTGTTTGCTCTCCAAAAAGAGTTTGGACTCGATTATAATATATTATCCTATTATATGATATCTTCCCTCTCCCAAGAAAGAAGAATTCAGAAGAGCTTGGCTTTCCTCTTCATATCGTTGCGTCTCCAGAGAGGTAACTTATCAAATTCCTGTATCGTCATGCCAAATATTTCTTGAAAAGCTTCAGGTGCTAAATGACGCTAAAGAAACACAAGACAAAAATACATTATCACTCAAGAAGTAGAAACAGGTAATCTAGATATCACAGCATTACCGTCAACATATTAGATCTGATATACCAGGTGTAATATAAAGTCCTGACCAATGGATAAGGCCAGTGTCCTATAGCAAGAATCATGTGGCCTTTTTGGATTTTTATTTTTTGGCTGCCAAAACATCCTGCTGTGTTTTTTTTAACTCTTCAGAGATTTTAAGTAATGAGATGGAAACCATAATTTCTAGCCAATAGGAATGATAGTCAAGTATTGCAATAGATAACACAGCAAACAATTTAGAGATTGAACAGTTGCTTGTCTAGCTCAAGGTAGCCTTTCCCTAGCCTTTCCCTACCAAGTGCCCTCCAGAGGTCTTGAGACTACAATCCTGTTGAGATGTTCAATATCTGGAAGACTCAATACATGAGCAGCCTGCCAATGCTGTTGTGGTGACATCTGCATAAAGAAAACCTAGTATGCAGCTACACACATGAGGGCTGTATCAAGACCTTGTATTTTCCTTTGACAATGGAAGAGAGTGAAACTTAAACTGGAACATTTCGGGTATAGGTGTAGTTTGATGAAATAAATCAGTTTGACCAGGTTTTATTTCTAGGAATATGCCTGCACATTTTTCTTTAAAAAGATACATATCTTATACCTTCAGCTGATCCCTGTTATGGACATCAAAGGCAAAGTATTTCTCTATAGCAGAGGTATTTAGCTTGCAATCTCATTAATATTTTCTCCAGAATCAATGCCAAAATTAGCTGGCTTAAATCTGATGCATTAGATTGCTGGTTGGGGGGGGGGGGCACTAAAAATTGGGCCCTATGTACTCATTATGACATCATTATGTCATGTGATTGAAAACAGTTCTACAACTAGAGTATAACCTTGAGAAACAATGTGGCTGTACACTATGATACGTGTGGTTCCAATTTTATACGTATTTACTTTAGAAAGGATCACTCAACTCAGTGAAGCTTATTTCTGAGCAGGCTTGCATGGATTGGTGTATTAGTTATCTTTGTATGGATGAAGCAGTTCCGATTAATGCAGTAAAGTTATAAATAATGAGCAACCCATAACATTACAAAACTTTCTTCTAATGCCAAACGGGACACCTGGTTCTTACCTCCAACCTGGTTCTATCCACTTCTCTTAGAATTTTATTTCGCCCTCTGTTGGTCACCATGAGTACTTCATAAGGAAATATCTATTAACAGTATAGAAGAGGCCTTTATGTAGAATTTATTAAATGCCACAAATAGACATCAAATTCACAAGCATAATGTGGTCATTGTTAAAAGACAGCTGCAAGTTCATTACATGGCTTCCTTGGAATATTTGTTACTGAACAATGAAGTCTCATAATTATAAATATATCCCCATCTATATTGCCTCTTTGTCTCTCCTTCCCTCCCTCCCTCCCTCCTTGATAAGCTGATGGATAATGCTTACTATCTTCTTTCTTTTACAGATCACCATTGGTTTGCCTTTATCTTCTTGGCTTATGCGCTCAGAAGCAAACACATTGCTAAAAAGTTATTTCATAAGTCGTTCCTTTGCTTATATTTGACCTGTCCATTTCTCTTTTTAAGTTAAACTACTTTCTTATATATCCATTTATTCATCGAACCAGCCCCTCTCCCCCATTAAGCTAATTATATGTGATAGTGCAAGCCTCTTGTGCAGGAACCTTGAGTTTTAATAAAATAAACGTTAGAGACTCAAAATCGGTAATATATAAACAAGCCTCTGTAAGGCTGCATTCACATTGTGCAAAACCAGAATGTGATTTGTCTGAATTTGTCTTATTTGTTTGAAGTCAGATGATGGGTGAACTCAGTATGACAGTGGAAAACTTGTATTTGCAGTCTCTGAAGATTTCAACTAAATATACTCAGAAATAAGCCTTAATTTTCTCATGTCTCTACAATCCTAAATTAGGGCTGCGTATGTTAAAACCACAATGACCAGGACATTATACATTCTGAGCATATTTCTTCAGAACTAATCTGATATCCTGTATCAGTGGCCAAGAAAATTAATGAACAAAAAAGAGTTTCTAGGAAGACTGCCTGAAAAATACTGTGGGTAAATCTTTTTTTTTTATGGCCATGAATATCTATTTATCTCTCTATATATGTATCTGCTTTTTTATTTATCTCACTGTAGTTTTGGGTGGAGTAGGGGAGGGAGGGAGAGAGAGAAAGAGAATGAATAAGGGAAGTGGTTCTTTTTCACTGTGTATATCTCAGTTCAAATTTATTTCTCTTCACATCTTAAAATTCCGTCCTCCCATTTTTTATACTACATCAAAAATAGTGAGATATAAAAAGACAATTAGCAATTCCTACATTCTTTTAGTGTTATAAGCAAAGAAAATGCACAACCCTAATTAGTCTGGTTTTGAAAATGGCCTTTCATGTAACAATCCTTTCCTGCATGGACACTTTGGATTGCTTTCAATTGCTTTGGAGATCCAATTCTGAAATCATATGACTCTGCGAATAAATCTCAGATATTCAGATTTACCTCTGAATAAAAATCTATACAATGGGACTGCAATTAGAACATCTGCTTTGATTTCCATTTTATTTTGTGCATGCAGCACAACCAAGAATAAATTCATCCCCGCTACATTCTGCTCATTTATTCCAATTAATGCTGGCACATTACTAGCAGGTCTAACTGATTTCACATGATTGCTTGATTTCACATGGCCTATTTGTTTTAGGTCCACCTAGAATACTTCTGTATAGTTTCCTATATATTAAATTCCTTATCCTATGTGCTCACTTCAAATTAAGGGGGATGTCCTACTGCCCCGAAAAAGAGAGGAGTGGCATATAAATAAACAAATTAAAAAGTGGTTGCCATAACATTTTAAATGCTATCATTCCAAAAATTACCCTGCATTGTTGTGAAACACCAGGAATAAATTCAGCACTTGCCTTTGGTTCCAACATGTTAGGCATAGACACCCCTCTGTCCATTCGCATTCCAGTGACGAGACCATCTGGGTTAAACTATATCAGAAGCATATAGGTATCAAACACATAGATTACATCTTTATCCACAAAACCCACACAGACAGAGTAAAGGTATTCATGCTGTGCATACACATCAATATAGAGTAATGTTCAAGAGAAATATGTATAATAAATATAATTATGCCAGATATATACTATACATAAAGATGTGGCTCCTAATTTAAGTGGCCTTTATTCATGGTCCTCTCTTTCAATTATGACGCTTCCCAAGGACTCTTCCCAAAGACTGATTGACAAAATAAGATAACAGTTCTAAAAATGTCAAATATTCTCTATTTAGGGCCTAACTTCTTTAAAAATATACTCCCTTTGCTTTACCCTGTTTCCCTGAAAATAAGCCCTCCCCAGATAATAAGCCCAATTGGGCTTTTGAGCGCATGCACTAAAATAAGTCCTCCCCCGAAAATAAATCCTTCCCAAAAATATTGCAACCAAGCAGCAGCCATGAGATAACCACACTCACCACCTCCTGCACCTCAAAAATAATAAGACCTCCCAAAAATAAGGCCAAGTGCTTATTTCAGG